CGGCAAGCTCTGCAAGTAGTTATTCTTCACGAGTAGCCGCTTCACAACCGTCTCGGAATCCCGCGCCCTTAATTCATCGAAAACCTCCACAACTATCGGGATCAGAGCACACACCAACCGTCAGCAGGACGGGAATGGACGGGTACGATATGGATGCTTCGAACGCAAAGGTGCGATACCACCACGACATGGAGGTTTTGACAGTCGCCCGAAGCGAAGCACCAATTAATTCACGACATGCAAGTACGCCACGACATCGAGACTTGGACTCTCTCCCAGACCATCTACGTGCGAACGCCATCTTCCGAAGATGGAATCCAATTCAGGGCACGCTCGTGACACCCGTGCCATCACATCTGGCCTGAGCCGCAAACCGGGACACGAAGAGGACACGAAGCCACGGACACCCTCGAGGCTGTCATACATGCAAAGCGACACGAAGCGACACCAAAAAAGAAGAAGCATGACAAGCGTGCACAACCAGAATACACAATATAGACATAAAGAGAGGACACGACACGCGCCTTGCAGACACTGCGTTGTGAATGCCTTTCCTGTGAGATGCTGCAAATTCCAATCACGTCCTAGCATGTTTCAACCTCCCTGGAACAAAAAGCAAGAACGCTGCTGCAGGCCGTTTTGGGCATAACTGAGGGCAACTCGGTGTTGTCGGAGGCGATCTGCTCCACATGGGGCAGGAACTTCCCATTCATCGTGATGACAACTCGCTTCTCGCCCTTCTTCCCAGTCTGAACAGGCGGGCCGATCCGAAGCTTTGCAAGGCAACGGGAGCCTGTCTTTCTCACGCCAAGCAACTGTCGTGCCAACATCCAGATAAAAGTCGATCGCGCTCATAATGCCATCGCCACACTGTTCGTTGATCAGTGCCTGAGAGTGTTCTCCCTTCGAATAGTACAAAATGCTGGAACGAACCGTTCTCTGGCCAGCCTTGATCGCCTCACCATAGTGTGTGACCCTAAGCAAGTGCTCACAATCTGAAGTCGCCCCTGGTCTCGAGCTTTGGCTGAGCTCACGGCGCCTCGTATGTGCGATATACGTTGGGCTCCTAGACAGAACGCTCCCGGGCTCTGCATTCCTCAGATCGGCCCGGTTACAAGCTGAAACCGGCCTGTAGGATCGCTGGATCAAAACTCCGCATCGGAGGCCTCACCGGGTGTGCCGAGGTGGGTTTCACTGCCTTGCCACAGACTTCAGCAAGTCCCTCGACCCAGAGGCCACAGTACAGCGCCTTTGCATGGTAGCAAGGTCTTCATCAGATATCTTGGGCACCAGCTCCTCGTGCCAGTGCCAGAGACAACTGGTGGGCAAGTCGGCTCTGCACGTTTCCCGTCTTAGTTCCCCAAAACAGGTTGCCAACAGAAAAACGTCCTGCGACACTCATGGAAATCCCAACAATGGGTGGCTGCTCTGCGTGACTCTGACCATGACCTTTACCTGGAACCTGTCAACCTGCTGCTCCCATCGCGCACAGACCCTGCTCGAGCTCACGGAAAGTAACAGCACATGATTTCCACAGGTCTCCTTCAGCTTCTTGGCTGCATGACCCTTGAGCTGTGCCTGATTGAAGAACATGTTCGCCTGCAGGCGCTGCTAGTGCTAGTAGCTTTTCACGGGATGCTGCAGGTCACCAGGAACGCTGCCTCCACCTCAATTCGGCCAAGCAGCCGTGTAAGCGTTTGTTAGTCCGAGTCCGGTGGCGATCCTCGTTCCCAGCACAAGCCCTTAAGTGCCTGCTGAGAAGACTCTTGTACCAAGAGCATGGATTACTTCGAGCGAGGCACTCATCGAAGCTCTTTCCGCTGGCCTCCTTCGCCACCAGCAGCCTTTGAACAAGCGCGGCCTTCTGGTCAGGGCCCTCTGTTCGCAGCCGCTTGGCTGGCGGAAGCTCCATGGCCCCCCAGACCGGCACTCACACTCTGATCCCTCAGCCTTCGCGACTGCGCAATATAATCACTGTTTACATAGGCTCAACTCCAACAGCAGCTGCGATTGCATGGGCAACACCCTTCAGCCAAGAAGAGGGGCCCTTGATTGATGCACGCCACAATGCGAAGCCACAAACAGTCGACATGCCGGCCAGACAACAGCTTCAACGTGAACTCTCGCACGGTGATGTCGCCTGCCTCGGTGATCGTATTAACATCAGACGGTGCAACATCTCAGCGCGAACTGAATCGTACACCCACACCTGCTTCTTCTCCTGAAGAAATGCGATCAGTTGCTGCACCATCTGGCGGAGCCTTGGACATTTCTTGCAAGCGCGCCGCGTTCGACCGCGACTGAAGCCAACTGAAAAGCCAGCTTCGCGCAAGCAGTGAGGTCCCAGCAGTGCCAGGGCCTCAGCACGGCGCTCCACGTTTGCCGATGCTTCTCAAGAAGACCTCTAATGACTCGAATAAGAATGTGATCAAACCAACATCGTGATGCCAAGATGAACCAAATGAGACTCCAGACGGAGGACTCACAGATAAGCAAAACGCAGCAACTTTTGTGTTCGACAAGGTGAAAATCAACCAACTCTGCAAGACCATTCAAATCCTTTTATGGTTTTAGCAGAGTGATTCTGGGACACAGGCTCCAGGCCACATTGGCTTGAAAGCTGCAGAGAAGACTTCGTCAGTGAAGTCCTGGAGAAGCTCGAAGCGACTGCAGCCAGTCAAAAGAGCATGACGGGCAGGGACAAGTCAATGCAAGATCGTGTAGCCATGGCACCAACGACGCTTGTTTTTCCTAGGGCAGGACATTGGGAAACAGTCTAAACCGAAAGAAGGGAAGATGAGGAAGCCGATGACGGCTATGAACATAGGCACAGGCGTTGGGAGATGGCTCGCGTTGGAAAATGGCCGATGCCTCTACGGTCCGAGTGCAGGAGTGCGTTGGCTGAGCAAGACCTCAAGTCCTTTCGGCTTCCAAACAATCACTGAGGCTACCATGGGAATGTCTGAAAGCCGCAAGTCATCCACAACCTAAGCCTTCAGGCCCTTGCTAGAAACATCCTGCCCCCCTCACGGCGAATCGACGTTCGGTTCGGGCTGAGGTGGGTGTTTGGTAAACAGAAAAGTTGCGGCTCAAAGACACGAAAGACTCGCTCCAATCGCTTCCGAGATTTTAAGTTGTGCCGGCAAACGTCTGTACATAACTTTGCACCATCTTTCCGTCGGACGGCGAGACGAAGAAAGCCAGGCTATGCCAGGCACATCTTCGATGTCTTCGAAGAGATTCAGAAAATCCCTGTCCTCCATAATCAAACGGGCTTCCTCGTCCTTACCTTTGCCACCAGATCAGGCTATGGGACTGCCATCACAGCTCCGTATCGAGGTCGGTGACGCAAGAACACGGATGCAAAGATCCAATAAGCCGCACGCTTCGAGACAGCACCAGTCGCTGCAATAGCCCAGCTACAAGCTGAGAGATGACCTCAGAAGACAACAAATCAGAACCAAGTCAGCATCGAAGCGACTGATCCAAAGTCCTGGCCGACTGCGCAGCCGGACGGCACTCGACCACCGATTCGAAGTCCACATCGCTGCCTTGCCCGAGCAGACACTCTGCACGCATTCATGACGGACACCGCCCGCCGGATGTGTCGATCTTTTACCAGAATATCTGCATGCGACGTGAGCCCACTTGCAGCCGTCTTTCTTGTGTTTTCGTGCTCCATGCGATGTCTGCAGCACATGTGCGCCGAGGTATGCTGACTGACTGGAGCAACCATCGGTAAATCTTTCACTGTTTCACCTCTGCCTGCACACCTGCGGACAGATATTGCTTGCACGTTCAAAGGGCGCACCGATCGGCTCGCGCAACGGCAGGCAAGCGGATTGGCAGAGTCGCAGCAGCCTCGGCGTTGCGTCTGAGGCGGTCCCAGGACAGGAAGTCTTACCAGCGCAGTCAGGCGACAGATGCGTCCAAGTGCTCAGACCATATGCTCCGCTCTCCTGTCTGAGTGACCCATGCACAGTACCCGCAAGAGCTGTCTTTGCAGCGATTGTGCCACCACGCAAAAGGCGACACATATCTGCGGACGAGGACAGCCCGTCTGGGCTCAAGCCTCTGTCGCGGGCATCTGGAACTTCTTTGCCCGCTTGCCTGTGGGCAGCCTTGCACAGCAAACACCACCGTAGAGGATCGCTTGAGCAACAGTTCGGCTCGGCCTTGGTGCCCGGGAAAGAAACTCCTGTAGCACCGAGCTGCGGAGCGCTTCATGGCGCGAGAAAATCGTCACCAGCACCTCTCAGGTGCAAAGCAATCTCAAAAAACTTCAAGCAGCGAGTTGAAGGCCTCCTCCGCAGCTGCACATAGACGAAAATTTGGCTCACCCAAAAAGAAAATGGAGAGAGCAATGTGGATTAGCTGGTGGAGCCTCGGTACAGTGCCATCACAACCCAAGTCCGAGGGCTGGCAGGTCTTGTCTGTCTGATTGACGATGAAGCCCTTCTCGAGATTTGCAAGAACCCTCTCAACCAGCGTAACTGGCTCAGACAACATGCGTGCTGAGAGGCTGATCCTCGGCCAGCCGATGGCGACTCAGGAACTCATGAAGTGCCTCTGCGTTTGTTTCTTGCATAGAACCAAAGCAGCCATACATTATGAAGTAGTCAAGCAGGCGACCGTACTGGCAGACAACGGGCTCGGTAAGGTTGGGGGATGGGATCGAAAAGCACCTGCAGTAGCTCGGCCACCGATGTACAGAGAGCACTGGCATGCTCGGCACCTCGCGGCAGGGGGGCCAAAGCGAAACACAAACATCACAAGAAGCACAGCTGAGCCCCATGCTAAAGGGAAGATCTCCGGCTTGGCCTGGGCTACGGAAGGTCTATGCAAAAGTGAAAAACCCCATGCAGTCCCAAGCCTTCGCCAGGAGCCTTCTTGCTCCTGGCAAGATTCAAGAAATTGGGCAACGAGTCGCCCTCTTCTAGTTCTGATGCTTCAACTTGCCTGTCGGATTCGGAGGCTTGCAGCGGCCCGATGATTTGCCGAAGCATCTCCTTGAGACTTTTCAAGATGCCCGCGGTGACCTGACGACGAAGTTCCCATGCTCTTCCCAAGCTTGATCGAACACAGGGGCGAGGTGCCTCCTCGATCACGAGCTTGTGGGGCACGCCATAGCTGCTAGCAAGCCTGAAATTGAGACAGCAAGGCAATGCACACCTCACCAACGCCCTGAAGGGCATTGACTGCTTTGGGTTTGCCAGTCCAGCAACACGCAATAGAGCGTCCAGTTTTCCAGCCCCAGCAGCAAAGCACCTGTAATCAGCTGACTCACGATCACCTAGCGGTAGTCAAAACCTCATTCTTGCCCTTCTGGCCTGCGAGGTTATCAGGGTTTTCACCACGGATCAAGCTCTGCAGATCCATGCCTCGACCAGGAGGACACGCTGGAGGTGCGAACACACTGTGGAAGTGCAACAACGCTTCATCTGGGCCTGCTCTGCCCCTAGACTCCTGAATCTAATCGGAAAGCAATTAGTCAAGGTGGCACCGAGCAACCCCGCCTTCAATCAGAACTGAAATGGCTTGTATAATCTTGAGCGGCTCCGCCAAGGCTTCCCCCAATTTTGTGGCCTCCGCATCAACTGCCCATGCGACGGTTTGACTGTGCAGCATGAGACGAAACAATTTTGCATGTAAGGCCCACTGCTCCTGAACATGTGCAGTGGTAACTTGATAGCTCCCATGACATACTGTATGTTAAGCAAACAGCTAGCCGCCTGCTCGGGATGAACTGCTGTCCTCCACAAAGGAAGCACATGCAATTCTTGCGGAAATCGTGTAGCTGCTCAGTGAAACAAACAAAGGTTTGGTTCCTCAAACTTCTCATCCGCCCAAACATGGCTGGGATATTGCCAGGGCCTGTGGTTTCAGGCTGTCCGTAAGAAATCACGAAGGCGAAAGCCTCCAACTCTGTTCAGCTGCAGAAAATCTTTCCCCGTCCCAGCTCCGTCGTACAACCACGAAGGCTAACACCGTCTTGGCATGTTTGCAGAGCGGCTTACCCGCCACCCTGCCCTTCCGAATCCATTGCCCCCAGCTGAAGCGAAAGCAGCGAACGCTTACTCACAGCTCGCATAATTAACGAAGACAGATACGCAATGCTTCAGCTCCTCCACGAAAGGTCGCGGAAGTGCCACACGACCTGGCAATGATGGCATATCCCTTGCAGTTACAACAGACCAGAGTCGCACACAGTGATTGCGAGGCACAGCACCCGCCACCTGACGTAGATTCTTTGCAGGTTCCAACGGAACTGCAGAATTCAGCAGGTCGTCCCTGCTTTGCAATTTGCCTCGGCAAGATGGTCTCGGTTACAGATGCCAACAAGACACCTTGTTGTACTCCTGCCGGATGCGCCTCCGACCGATTCTTTTCAAAGCAAAACGAAACAAAAGCTGAATCAGGTGCATGCCAAGGTGCGAAGACTGCCAACGAACTGTTCCACGGCTTTAGGCAAACCCTCTGCCAACAGACGATCCATTTCTGGCAAACCATCTGCTGCCTGGCCCACAAGCAACAAAAACATCTGTTGAAACATGTGCTGCGAATCCTCGCGAACCCATGCAAGCCTTTTGCAACCCTGCTCGCGCCATGCGCTCGACATGGCTTTCCGTCTTGTTGGACCGCGCACTCAACCTCGGAAAGGAACCAATCACGGTGTGCAAATGCATACTGCGAACGTGCGACCACGGTTGGACATGTGCAACAGCTGTCTTCGACCATGCAGCCGCAGCGTTGCACCCTTGGGCGCCATGGGGCATTACGACATGATCTGTTCCACAAAAATCACGTCCACGGGCCTGCAGTACAGCACTGTTAAGCAATACTTTTTTTCATAGACTGCGTAAGGTACACTTGCGTTCGTATCAATGACACTGAAACTCTGTCAGATTGGTCCGGTTGCAGGGACAAAACACCCCTCCAAGCACTGTCTATTCATGGTGCGAACTACAATCGTCTTGCTCAACAACACTTGCAACATGCATTGTGGAAATTGGCTCCATGATGAGCGCTTGAAGAAGACCAGCAACCGCGGCATGAGGTTTTTATGTCTAAAATTTAAACAAAAACACTTTGAGTCATACCCTTTCCAAAACCGTTTGCCGCGCCAACCAAATTCCGAAGCAAAGAAATGCTGCAAAGTTGAGCAAATCTCACGCTTATACCTCCCGCATGTTCAAAAGATTTTTGTCGACAACCTTGGCTTTGAAACATGTCCGTCCGTTTCCAACAAAACCGGAGACGACAGTCAATCCTGCATGTTCGAACAAACTCTTCTTTTGTGTGCCGGACAAACATTTCAAACAACGCAACCGGTATACGACTGAAGTCTTGGTTCACCGAATCGAGGCACAGGCACGACTTGAAAACTGGCCCTGGCCACCCCACCCTTCTTTCCGCATGTTTCGCCTGGTTCAAGCAACCCGGCTGACCCTACAACCACCGATACGCCGCTGCATGTGCAGGAAGCTCTGCAATGGATCCAAACAAACAAAAAGACGCTCATCCAAACAAACCAACATGCTTTTCTCCGAAAAGGAACACATCAAACTGCTTTGTTTCACGGGTCAAACTCTGAAACTGGAAGTGCTAGCTGCTTTTCAAAAAGGCCAGACTATCTTTTGTACCCGTTTGGCTTGCTGCCACAAGTAGCAATGCCCAACTTATCGCTAAGAAGGCAACTTCTTCTAAACCTCTTGCGCGATGTTTTGAAAACCCTGCAGGGAAGATTCAAAGTGCTCTAGGGCCCAACTTGCAATGTTCCTTTTCTTGGGATCTGCAGGCAAGACCTCAAGTCGAGCTTGGTTTTCAGATCAGAGGGTCTTCCAATGAACTATGTGACGTCCCATGAACCAGAACGAACGCAAGAAGCTTAGTGAGTCACAATGCCCCAATGGCCAGAGTTGAGGGGTGAACAAAGTTGCAACGAAATTTAACCAACACACATGCAGCAAACAGGGCTGGCTTCGACAAAAAGTCCACCGCGCGAAATGCCACGCCCGGCACTAAAACATTTCATCTGCTCAGCCACGCGAATCCTCCGATCGATGGCATCAGTGCTGTTAGCGCTGATTCCGGTTTGAAAAGAAAAGAAAGACAAACCAAGATGTATGTAAACAAACAAGTGGTTAACTTGACTCGATCTTCACTCGATGCTCTATTCTGATGCACGTGCACTATGCACTTGACTCGATGCATTTACTCGATGTACTTCACTCTGATGTACTTCATAGAACTCTGACTTGACGCGATGCAAGTGCTTTCATTCTGATGACTTCACTCTGTACTATGCACTCGTAGAAGCGTTGTCCATGAGCCCTCCGCTGCAGACTACAAGAAATTTTTCCCGCCCCAAGCTTGAGAGACGTGCAGTCCGGAACATTCAATCACGTTCGACAAAGGAAAATTTTCGTTAAATCTCACATGAAAACTCATTCATGCGAAACTTTCTTGAAAGACTGTTTGAAAAACTCATGCAAGAAACTGTTAGTTGGTAGCTTGCATCATGAGCATATGAAAACCCGCACGCACTGCGTGCTTCCCAGCCCCAAAGAAAAGAATGTCTAGTCGACACGTCGAAAACGCAGATTGGAGTTGGCTGGGTTGACTCCAAACTCAGGTTCTGGGTTGGAGTTGCTCAAAACGAGGTTGAGATTCTGGTCAAATCATCTGACGCGCGCATTTGGAAACGCGCCAAGAGATGCCGAAGCCAAAAGTCGCATCAAATTTGATGGAACGAAAACATCAATTTCCAACGTTACGATTGTCCTTTCCAGTCCGGGTTTTGGGCAATTGATGTGCGTGTTTGATTTTTTTTTGACATGTTCGTGCTCGAAAACCAGCAACTTTGGACAGAATACATTGGTTGGATTGTCACATTTTGGTTGGAAAATGAATTTAACACGCTTCGCAGTTATTTTCAAAAGTTGTTATAATGACAAGAACACCACTCGCATGTCAAACTAACACTTGAAGGCGGCCCGGTCCAAAGCTCTCTTTTTTTCTGAAGCATCGCAAAGGGTTTTCCATGCGAAGTCCTTCAGACGAGTTCATAGGATCAAGTACACGGAGTACTGTACAGAGCATAGTGTACAGAGCAAAAAACATAAGAGTGAAGTACATCAGAGTGAAGTGCTCGTGAAGTGCATCAAGTCAAGAAATTCTGGAGGTCGGTAAGATTTGTGCGTTCTTAATATGAGACTTTGCTGGTCTTTGTGCAATTGCCTCCTGCTGATTTGGTCTCCTTCGCTACAGACTTTTCAAACTGCGAGCAGTTGTACATTGCTGTTTTCTATGGCTGTAACCGTCCTTGCGGAGTTCTTCTTTCAAAAGGATGCGTTGAAAGGCCTCGGCAGGTCTGGGAGGAACATCCAGTCTTTAAGAAAACGAGCTTTCGAACATCATTGTCTTCTTGGCTATCTAGAACCGCCTCGGTGGGCATTCGAGAGACACTAAATTGTCCAGAGGAACCCAAACAATTTGGAGAAGAGGATGCTTCAAAGATTCCTTGGACGATTGAAAGACGCCTTAAGAATGTGAGGCTTCAGAAATATGCCTTGAAGAAGCTCAAGGCGATGGTGCTTTTGGACTCGACGGCTTCGGGTCTGGGGCTCAGCCTGGTCAAGAAGACGGGAGCATTGGAGGAGCTTTTGCGATGCTTTTAGTGCAAAGGCTGCAGGGACTCTTACCAAGCGAGTTTCGTCATTGCAGAGATTGGTTTTGCAACTGCACAGTCAGGGAGTGGAGAGATTTGACGGGTTCATCTTCGAGGCTGAAAAACCCTTCGAAAACGTGTGCGCCACAGGGGCCTCCCCAGTATGTGATTGCCTTGGCTTCAGAAGCGGAGAAGCTCTGTAAGCCAAGAAGCCAGTTGGTCGGAATGTTCGCTGGTTTCGAAATCTCAGAAGATACTGGCATGTTGGAGCATCGCTCCAACCTAAGATCAGAGAATGCAAGCTGCGACTGGCTAAAACGAATGCTGAGCACTTAGTTTTCGTCCCGATGTCCAGTGCGAAGTTGAGTTGTGTCCAGGTCGAAATCTCAACGCGCTAGCGTTTCGGCTTTCCACCCTCCCGACCCTCAGTGGAAGGGATGTTCAATGTCCATTGTTTTGCCGGGATCTTCTAGAAAAAGAGGAGTGGACAAAGGGAGAGGCATGCCTCTTGCTAATTCCATGGGTCCTCAGCCTGCCACTGGCGTGAGTGTCTTGGTGTCGTCCCTCCTTCGCTTGTCTTCTGTACGAAATCTCAGAAGATACCGGCATGTTGGAGCATCGCTCCAACCTAAGATCAGAGAATGCAAGCTGCGACTGGCTAAAACGAATGCTGAGCACTAAACTTTTGAACTCGTGAACCCTGACGGTTCTAAACCCGAACACCCGAACCCAACTCCTCAACCTTAAAGTTCTAAACCCTAATTTTCGGAGGTCCTTCAGGATGCAGCGACCTGGAAATCGTCAGGCAAGCCTTTTGCGAAGCACCGAACCCTTTCAACATCTGCTGGCTTTGGGGTTTAGTAGGGTTCAGGGTCTCGGCGGGTTTAAGGGTTTAGGGCTTTGGTTGTGAAGAGAAACCCTAAACCCTAAATTTTGGAACACAGTCAGCAGCCCGTGGAGGTTGGTTTCCGCGCTTCCTGAGCGAGTTGGTCCTGCCCTTTCTTACAGAGGCGTGGGCTTCATGAACAGTGAATTGAAGTTCAAGCACATATTGCGCACCTTCGTCGGTCGAACTGGATGTTGTCTTTCGTGTCAAATCATTGTAAAACATGTTAAGCCTAGCAAATGATGACCATTAAACAATCATGTATGTACAATTGTGCAGCAGATTGGGTTTGCTGTTTTTTCGGAATGTTGCTTTAATCTCCTTGGCGCATGGCTGAAGCTGATCTGTATAATGCATTGACAGCGCTAAGGGATAATGGGTGTGGGGCTACAGCACCGGCCCATATCCTTGAGAGTCTTCGATTTTTACATGGTATTGTA